CCCCCCCCCCTGCACTCTCCCCTGCTTGTGCACTCTCTTTCTCTAAAATAAAATTAATAAATTGATTAATGAAAAGAAATATGAAAGGGGGGGTGTGTTTTCTCTGATCCTTCTCTGATGTGATTCTTGATCACTTCAGGTTTTATTCTTTGCTCCTTTCTCTATATTTATCCATGGATTAAGTATCATTTATTAGTGACATCTCCCACCATTTTAGACAAAGTCAGACAAAATTAAAACCCTCCATAACCTGCTCCTCCAGGACTATGGCCTAGTTTTAATCTTCACTCCTTTCTCAGTATTCCTGCTGGAAGCCATCACATATTCAGATTGTTCTTCCAATCTCCACATTAATGGTTGATTTCTATAATATTCCTTTCAGAAAGGCAACCTCATCATAACACTGGAAATAACTGTGTTTTCAGATGTTTCCCTAATTGTCTTTCATGCAAAAATAAATATAATTAAAAGAATATTAATAAATTGCAGTAAATCCATTTTGAGTATTAAAATTTGTGGAATCAGTTTTCCTACCAATATTCTTCTTTGAGAATCACATTCAGAACTTAAACTGCAAATGTTTATTTTTATTGAAGAAAGGTAGTTTGCTAAATATATTTAATATCAGGAATAAATATGAATTTATGTGAGAGAGAATTGATTTAGTGCCAATCATGTGTCATTGTTTTAAAGGTAAATTAGAGAGCTGTTCCCAAAACAAATTTAAATAAAAACCTCTCTCTCTCTCTCTCTCTCTCTCTCTCTCAGACAAACATTTAAACATAAATATGCAAGGCAAAAGATCCACTTTCATCTGGGTAAAAATGTATGCTGAAAAAATTGTTAAGAATAAGACAACGTAATCCTATGCTAAGTGCCAAATGTTTGGTAGCAACAACAGAAAGTACTGACTGCAAGAATTTAAAGGAAGGGAGCACTCCAAGCTAAGACTGTCAGTCAATGGAGATTCCAAAAAGGAGGCAGAATTTGAGGAGGGCTTTACAGGATACCAAGGATTGAGACAGTTGCAGAGGAAATGAGAAATGTTTTGGAATAGGGAGAGTGGCATTATCATGGTGACCATACTTAGTTGTTTTCAAAAATAGAAAGTGAATACATCTCATTAGAATGGGTAGAACGAGAGTTCAAGAAAGGTAAAACTGGAAGAGCGATTGGGAGCAGATCTGGAGGTCTTTAGATGGCCCATCAATGG